CCTAAGGAGAACTATGGGGAAAAACACTGACCCCATAGTTCTCCTTTAAGTGTATTTGTAATTTAAACTAGAATTGTGGTCAGACTATGGGAATACAACCTTTTTGGCCATAGTTCTCTTTAAGGTCACAGGAGGACATATACGTGTCCAAGTATATGTGATCCAAAACTCAGCATACATAGCGGGCTACTGCCCACTATATGCTGACAATGCAGAGCGGCGCTGCAGCCGGGACAGATCCTGACAATATTGGCTGATTGACAGCTGGCTCTGCCTCTCTACAGCTGTGCCGCCCCCTACCCCATCCGTTCCTCCAGTCAGCACTGGAGAAACAGAGAGGGGGATCCCTGCGGGGAGCGATGGCTGACAGTCACCGCTCTCTGCAGGGAGAAGATTGGGAATTTACGGGAGTTTACGATCAATAGAGCCGACTTGTGACAGCTTCAGTGTCACAGGACTGTTTGAATTATGGGGGAGTGTATTTCACTCACCCCATAATTCTCCTTTGAATATTTACATATTCTTAGCAAGCAGTATAATAGCTTAAAACTTTCCCTGACCTCTGGAGCTGCAGATACTGTGGAGTAATTAATCCTCAATTCAATAGCTCACCTCCCGCTGCACCCCTAGCAGTTACTTAATTGTGTGTATCTTCCTGCACTCCTTACCGGATCTCCTAGGAGATGATGTCTGTAATAGGGTGCTTGTAGCGACCACGGAGGCACCGTGTAGTCAAGTAGTAATTCCAAAAGATGTCACCAGCACTCCAAAAGTAGATTCAATATATTTTAATGACAACGGTCATTCAAAATCACAAGTACTTTCGGGGCCACGTTGGGTCCCCGTCATCATTCTGAGCCTGGTAAGCCAGTAATGGGGAAAAGAACAGTTGCAGGGGGGCCACAGACAACAGTGTTGATTAGTACTTTGTCCTCTCCCTCCCTTTATTGAACACAGCTACCAGAGTTCAGTTCCTTTTAAAGCTCATTTACTGCTCGTTAATAATATGTAAATATTGAACTGTCCATAGTCTAGTCACTGTAAATGAAAAACAAATAAGCTCAGGAAGGAAACTGAACAAAAAGACAGATACTATAGTCCAGTGGTTCTCAACCTGTGTAACCTCGGGGGACCCACACGTTTCCTTGGTCATTAAGGCGTGACCCAAAAATGATTTCAGTTCTGAAACATTTTAATTTATTACACAAAACAACTTGTGCAGTATTCAGCAATATATATATAATATAAGTCTATGCAGACATGACGCCGCGACCCACTGCAGAGGGTGTCGCGACCCACTTTTGGGTCGCGGCCCACGAGTTGAGAACCACTGCTATAGTCTATATCAGGGGTAGGCAGCCTGGGCACTCCAGCTGTCATGGAACTACAAATCCCATGAGGCATTGCAAGACTCTGACAGCCACAGGCATGACTCTCAGAGGTAGAAGCATGATAGGATTTGTAATTTCACCACAGATGGAGTGCCGAGGTTGCCTACCTTTGCTCTATATTATCAATAACTAGGATGTGCAAAGATGGCTGCAGTAATGCTGTCTTGTCCCCCTTTACCCCAAACTCCCCGTTCTATTCTTTCACCTTAGCAAATCCCCTTTTCATTTGCACTTTGGGTCTTCTTTCCTGTTTGGTTATCATATCCACTAAACTTTGATCAGTTTGCAAAGAAAATGCTACAACAAACTGCTATTTCTTCAGAATAGAAACAGGAAAAAGTATAGAAGAGAAGATTGTGAACGAGCACTCTTTAGCTGGAGAATTGATGGTAGAGAAGGTGCCGACAAGAACTATCCTACTCTGTTAAATACAAGCGTGTGGGGCTGTCTGTTACAGCCGAATACCTGGGGTGAGTACACATTTTTAGGGGAATGATATTGATCTCAATACACTCCCCAGAATAAGGATTGAGTGTACATCACCGAATATATTGAAACTAGGGTTGCACAGATACCAAGCACAGTACTCGGTACAAGTACGAGTACATGTACCGATACTTTTGAGCTCCAAGACTAGACTAGAGAAAAATGCAAAAATTAGGAGGCAGCTTTCATTATTGTATTAATATTTTTTATTTATTATTTTTTATTTAAAAAAAACTTGTTGCTTTAAAGTTTTGCACAAACAAAGATCACAGATTTATCTTTTCATTATAGGAATACATCACTTATAGTCTGTTAATAAGATATTTATTTATTGCGATCACAGAGGAATTTTACTAACACTTTGTTCACACAACATTTTTTTCATTCACGGTTTAAGCACTGTTTTTGTATGTTGGATTTGATTTAATGTTGTCCACTTGTATATGAAACACTGAATTATCATTCATGCACTTTGAACATATATGGGAGTCACGTATGATTTGACAATTTGACAATTTGACACTGGTTTTTTGTATACATATACACAGGTATTCACTTTCGATTAATTAGCGCTGTGTATTTATTCTATATTCATCATATCCACTATACCTGCGGTGGAATTGTAGTAGTCTGTCCACATTTTTCACATTGCTAACTTGTAAAATGTTGGGAAGCCAGCACCGTGTACAGCTGACACACATACTTTTCAGAGCACACAGCACTAACACACAGACTGCTGATAGAGTCACAAGGCAGGAAATGAATACACGCAGATGAGAGCCATCCCTGTTTGCAGAAGGAAATGTGTGATTCACTCAGCGACAGTTGTGTGTATACAGTGTATAAGAAGATCAGGGCAGATAAAGGACAGGCCACGGGCTGCTTTTTAGAAATACTCAGTGATTTAAAGTAAACCTTTAAGGGGCTGACATTGCTGACCTACAAGTGAAACTTATTGCCTGGCTTTTATTTTATACTTCAATATTTTGAGTCACTGATCAGGAACAAGTATGCCGATCAGGAAAGTCATAATAAAGACCCAAGAGGGTCATCATGACAGACAAGGAACTAGCATTTGGAGAGGAAGAAGTCAGCAATGTCAACTTTCTGTGTGGAAGCAGTGGTCTCTCTGCAGAGGTCTGTTAGGGAGGCAAGAACCCAGACAGAAACTTAAAATGCAAGTTTTAAAATAAAAGGAGCTTAGAAAACAACAATAAACATAAATGCCAAAAAACAATGTCCAGGACATCGTCAGTGCCAAGCCAGAGGTCAGACACCAAATCGGGTAGTCAGCCAAACCAGGCCAGGTAACAGTGAGCGAAGGATATGTACTCGACCAAATGCTCCAATGCCTAGCCCGGTACCCGAGCTTCTGTTATCAGGAAGCAGGACAGCGAGTCATTACACGTTGCCCAGCTTCCTGATTGGCCGGGAAGCCGGCTCCATGCTCCCTCGTCACTTGTGACAAAGGAGCATGGAGCCGGCTTCCCGGCCAATCAGGAAGCCAGTCAGCATGACTCACTGCCAGGTTTCATGATTGGTCGGGAAGCTGGCCAATCAGGAAGGCTCTCTGATTGACGAGGTGACGAGGGAGCATGGAGCCGGCTTCCCGGCCAATCAGGAAGCTGGGTGCCGCGTCATTACATGCGTCCGGCTTACTGATCTAGTGACGAGAAGCATGGAGACGGCTTCCCTGCTAATCGTGAAGTCGATTGGCGATTCTTTACACATGGCCCGGCTTCCTGGCTAATCAGGAAGCTAGATGGCGAGTCATTACACGCGAGTGCAGCTTCAGATTAACTGCTCATCTATGCACATGTGCACCAGCAGAGACGGGGCAATTTCCAGCACCCCAGGTTTTTAGACATGCTCGGAGTTCATTGACTTGAATCAGTTTTGAAACGTTCTTCTGGATCTCAAGGCTTTCAGCTAAGACAATGGTGCTTGTATGCTACCTTACAGAACTCCAGGTAAATCAAATCGTAACCCTTTCAGTGAGGCTACCCCTGAACTGCAAGGGTTAAGTGCTCGTTTTGTCTAGGGAGATAAAATAACAAAGTTATACTGACCCGAACCACGATCCCGGCTTGGTCCTAGATGGAACCCTTCAGCCCCCCTCTCTGCTCCAGCAGTCTAAGGTCCTGTGAGTCATCACGTTCTATACAGTCAGTGCATAGAAAGTGAGCACACCGAGAAACATACCATAGCTGAAGAAGAGGTGGAGACAGGCTGAAGGAAGCAGTTGTACTTTAAAGGTAACTTACCTTAAAAGCGTGCCCTTCTCCAGTGCTCTTGGATCAATCATCAGTCCTTAGCATTGTCCACCACCGCCATCTCCATCGCTGACACTTCCGGGCTCTCAGACGTTCTCTTCAGCCATTGGGTAGCCACTGATAATGTAACTCCTGCGCATGCGCAGAAGAGCTATATCCTCTACGGCACCCAGCTAAATTGATGGCATGTTAGAGATGCCGTGAATGGGCTGAGTGTGTACACTATACGACTTGTGCACCATACACTGCACACACAAAAATAACTGGGGGAGAAATGAAGAATTTTTGGGGCAGAAGAGACTTTGCATGTCTCTTCTGCCAGAAATTCCTAGCTCCCTGCAGTTTTTTTCATCTTTACTTCCGCCTTAATGGTGAAGAATATACTTACAGCATGCAGATCAGCAATTGCTGCCTAAATAGAGGACTCTAGCATGCCTTTTGCTACGATCACACCACAAGAATGCAAGATTGCATATAGGCGAGGGCATCACACATGTCTGATCTGAGCAACATTGCTGCACGTCAAGTGATGTGAGGCTTAGCATGCCAGCAGATCAGCTGCAGAGCCCATTAGCTTGATTGCAGTCATTGTGAGTCCCTGCAATCCAGATGAGGCCATTAACCCATTCCAGCTTGCTGGTGTTCGGCAGCTGGATGCATCAGCAGGGGACAGGCAATCTCTGCCATTAGTAAGGACAAGGGCATGCTACTGAGGAATAACCCACTAATCCCATACACACACTAGGTGGGGCATCCTCTATCTATTGCACTGGAGCACACACAGCATACAAAAAAAATCTCTTTTTCCATCTCAGGAGGCTGGATCTCTCTCCTGTGCCCAGCCTCCCCTCTCCCTCCCTCTCTCTCTCTCACCCTCCCTCTCTCCTTTCTCTTTCTCTCTCTCTCTCTCTCTCTGCTCCAGCCTCCTTGTTTTCCTGCACAGCCCAGCCTCTTCTGCAAGCATTACCTTTGCAGTGTCTCCCTATGCTGCATTACAGCTTCATCTGTATTCACTTTTAACTACGAAAGATCTAAGGAAACCTAGGAGGCATTTGCTGCAATCCCCTTCCTTAATCCTCTGCGCTTTTCTCCCATTTGCCACTCTGCAGTTGCTCCTTCTGCAATGCTCTGCCTGGGGAGAATACATTAGAAGATCTCCATGGCTCGCTGAAGAGTAGCCCACCCATAGCCCTCTCACTACGCTGACAGGTAAGAGGCTGTATGATTTGTTTATGGGTGCATTAATCAATAAGCGTTGTCATAGATTGTACAGTTGCCACCTTCATCAGCCTTGCTTTAACCCTTCGCTATGCAGGCCTTCTGGGTAGGGAAGGAGTTGGGGGAGCAGCGTCTGGTTCCACCACCAGATCCCCCTTTAACTCCCACTGCCTTCACCACCCTATTCTGCACATTGCAAGCTGTCAGATAATCCAGCACACATCTGCCTATGGCTGCAGTACACACACACACACACACACACATCTACAGACACACAGACACACACACACTCTGTCATCTTGCTATTTCACCATATTACAGCAGGCTCCTTATTGGGCTCTTAATGTAGTCTTAGCATCTGTGCTGTTTCATTTTGAATTTGTGCCTGCCATTTTATCATGTCTCTAGGCGTTACGCCTTGTCACACAGTAACGAGCTCATCTGTGTACACACATTCACACACCTACCTACATGCAGAGAATTGCATGAGCACATACGTGCTTGTCTACACCCACTTGACTACACCCAGACAAAAGGTAGATCCTTAGAAACTGATATTGCCACTTAAAAATTCTCTAAGCGTTGATAAAGTCTATACCGCCTGAAAGCTCTTTGCGAAAGCCGGTAAACTAAGCGCAAGGTGGGATTTCTCGCCGCCTGCGCCAACGAGCGATTTTCCATTTGCAATTCCCTCTGCGTTTGAAATAATGTGCTACTTTTTTCCTTGCCCTTGATGAATATTGTATGTCTGCGTTGATTAAACACCCCAGCATACACCTAGGGTATTTGATAATTCCTCTAATGACAGCTTCAGCTTTAGTATAGATCCCTCTGCAATTAGCAATCATGAATAAAATACAATTTTCACACATTTGCGTCTTTGGGCTTCCCTTTTCTATATTAACTGCCCCAAAATCAAACCCCATACACCACCTCCAAATTAGATAAATGCAGCTTAGGTAGCCATGATTCATTTCCCAGTCACTGGGTTACACACACATGTATGTGTGTGTGGACCTTCACACCCAAACACGCATGTCTCCCTAATCCACTGAAATCACCATACACACCTGTACACAGATACACAAGCCTGCCTTACTGGCAGGCTTGTGTATCTGTAGGCTTGTGTATACCCAAGCCTGCCTTACAACGAGCAGCACAAACACACAGACACACATTTTAATCTCACCACCACTCCCTTTGCAATCTAGGGAGACTCTTTTGTACACACTGGGTGTGACACATTGAAAATTATTTTCTTGCATAACACAACACAGTCTTCTTTTTTTTTTTGTAATATGCCTTTCCTCATGACAATTAATCATCCTTGCATCATCAGCATTAGCCTAAAATAAAGTATATCATTTTAATGACGGCCATCATCCATTGAGTGCTTAGGAATAACCCTAAAGTCTGTCATGTGAAATAGAAACATCGATATTTGCACCATTTAAATGAATAATAACGATATCCATAATACTCTTAAATATTACAACATCTGAAAATGGAATTGTCTTTTATATCCATCATACTGGCAAAACTACTGTCCATAATCAATATTCTGTATTTAGAATCTTGATGTCATTCCAATGTGGATGGCTGCCTCTAAACCTGATTGCACTGTCATTTTAATAGCATTAGCAATCATTCACTGTCTGATGCAAGGTCCCTTTCCATTATAGGACGTGGGATGTCATTTAAAGTGTGCGTGGAAATGTATGTTTCACGTAGCAACCAATTGGTGCCCCAGCTTTCTGCCTCCTGCTCCAGGTATATAATGATGAGGAGAAATCTGGTTGCTATGGTCAAGAAAGACAGTTCTTTCAGATCATTTTACAAATGCAGAAGCT